GGGTTATTAACTTAGCGGTAAAGGAGCCAAAAATAATTATTTGTCTTGTTTTAAGACAATAACTTGAGTATAAGAGATATTTATTTAGTCAATATTTTAGAACAAGATTCCACACCACAATAGGAAGTTTGGGATTAATATTGGGGGTTATTGTCATAGCTGTTAAGGAATTAGGGGCCAAAAAGGACCAAAAACAAGCATTTTTCATGTTTCAGGACAATGTTGTTTTTTTTTATTACTTAAACAAGATACAATATAATTTTTAAGTAAATGGAGGGTATGGAGTGTATTGAACCCCCTTCACTTGAACAACATAAAATAGAGTTTTAAGATAGAAGAGGGTATGGAGTGTAATGACCACCCTTCCTTTTTACTTACTTAAAAACAATATACAATAGAGTTTTGAAGGAAGACGAGGGTATGGAGTGTAATGAGAATGCCCTTTTTGAACCATAACCTTGCTGAATTATCGTTATTGTTTTTCGACGATGCAAAAATGATTAGTAACATTTAATGTTATCATGCGTTAAAATAATTACAATATTATATTATCAGATCCCTGTCGTCAATTACGATAACAGTGATTGATTGTTGTAGTCTATGGTCAACCACATGAACATCGATCTGAACCGGGGTTTTTTTTGTTTTTGTTTTTTAGTTTTTTTTTCTTTTTCTTTTGTTTTGTCTGTCAATTGGATTATTTTGGTGCAATATTTACTCAAATACTTTGATTTTCCCGTTTTATTCACTTCTTTTTGTTGTAGGTTCTAGTTGTTTGTTCCTTGTCTTTCCTCCCCATCATTGACATATATTGAAGCAAATTAACTTATGCTTGAGCATGTTTTGGCCAGTATGGCTATAGAGCAATTGTCATATTGTCAGCGCACAATTTACAATTCAGAAAGATTTTGCTGGAAACGCACATAAATCTATTACAATTTCAAACTCGTTGTTTTTTATCTGAATTCCTGGGGCCGTCGGTTTCTTATGCGAAAGTAAAAATGTTTAAAATTAATGGTTGTGCATGCTTTTATTTATATAGTATTATTTTTTTTCAAATGGAAATTGTATGAAATGTTTTGAACAACAGGATTATTTAACTGTATTTGATATGTATGGGTACTTTCATAGTCATGGTGGTATCTACCTTAGGTTGTAGGTATTTAATTCATTTTATGATCCCCCGTAAGGTTTTAAATCGGTTGTGTATATTCAATGTCTCCATCGGTAATTCTGGAATAAATGATTTCCAATGAACAGTTATACGGACTTTTTTCTAAACGCCTTCACATATTGAGCTGATTTTTAATGTATGTGAGTCTACTATGATGAGTTACTGGTCAAGTTTACATTTGGTTTCCCCTCCTCTGATTTTTGTCGAAATTATTTATGGATGTTATATGCATTGCCGTAATATTAGTCTTGGTAAGGTTGGTTATGACAGGTTTAATTAGTCCACCGTGCAGATAGTATTCAGATTTCAAAATATGCAAGCTTTATTTGAACAGTTGTAATGTGACCTCCATATTCTTAGTAAATAATCGTTTCGAATAAAGAATTAACAGCTGTAACTTTGAATATAACATAAATTGAACCATCCATCCCATGATTTAGAAGTTTAAGTTATGTGTCATTTTAAAGAAAATACATCTAATTGTATTTTATTTCATAAATATTGCGCAAATATTGCAGAACACAATTCTCAGTTGTGACAAATAGTGTCCAATTTCTTAATAAGAATACCATACTTTTTCTATTCACTTTTTAATTTGTATTTAATCCTATGAATTAAAGTTTGCACCTTTCAAGTGCATGTAACATTTGCGTGAAATGTGTAATAAAATAATAAAAATATGTTAACAAAGAAAGTGTGGTTTAGGTGTACTTGAATTCTTAAGATCTTGGATTACAATAAATTTCATTTTATTTATAGGTTTTTAATTATACGTAATTTACTAGATAAAACATTTAAAGTTGAACATTTGCACATCTTAACATACATCTTGGTTGCTTATTATTTGAACATCTGCATAAAACATGTATATCAAAATGTGAAGCTATTTGAGTTTAATTTCAATTTCTAACAAGAACTCATTTACAGCACTGTGAAATAATAATGGCGGTCGCTTGTTCCATTTACCAACCAGTTACAGGGTTTGTATCATGGTCGAACGTCTTGATATTTTTTTAGTTCAATTCTAAATTACTAAAATTTTTGTTGGATTTTCATCTTTGTAAAGTATAATTTTAGTCAATATTCAGTCCGAAATTTAACGATTTTAATTTGTTATATATTCATTATTTTTGTTTGCTAAGCTGTTTTCAGTCTTATTATACGCAACCAATGGCGAAAATTACTATCCTATACCACCAGAGGTATAAAACAAGAACAAAATTAAAAGTATTTCAAAACGTGTACCACTAAATGAATGCAAGTGATATATAAGCTATTTCAATGTTTAAATAAATATCAAATATGCGGGAGTGCAAAGTGCAAGTTTAACAAGATAATTTATGAGAAGAAAAGACTTTTATATAGTCGTTTACAATAATTGCACGCATTTATTGATGGTGTGACGCCCATTAAGATCACATGCATGTTCTTAATTTCAAATACACATTTACGGAAAGCCTTTTAGTATCTTAATATTCTTACTACATTCCGGAAAATAAAAATGGTACCTGCCATGTACAAATTCCTAATAATAAAATATAGTACGATTTGTTGTCTTTTATATCATGCATTCGTTGAAAAGGGGGACCCTTTTGTGGTCCTAAAAGTAGACGAGGGTCTAGATTTGGATATATTGTTGTAATACTTTGCCAAAATTTAGTTCATATTATGCTTGTTATCAGAATTTAAATGAAAAGTACAGGTTATTCAAATATGTCAGATTTTGTATACATTATACATGGAAACCAATTATATGTAAAGAATGAAAAAAAGCTGATAAAATTGGAAAATAAAACACGAGAAGAAAGCTTTTGTTATGTTTTTTTTTCTTTCAGAAAATGAAAAGAAAAACATATAATTGCTAAAATACATTTTATTGTATATTCCTTTATAAAAGTTCGATTAACTTAGTTATCTCCCGTATTTAGCTACGGTGAAAATTTATTTTGAAATATTCGAAATAATAAGATAAAACACATAAATTTCTTCATTTAGATTCAAAGTCTTACAAATGTTTTGCCTTCCTCTCTCAAAATTTGCATATTTTATTAAAGATCTAGACCGTTTGTTTTCTGCTGTTTTTACATCCAAGATTGAGGATGACACACGATCATTTAAAGCTTTTATGAAAAAGGAACCCTTAACGCCAAAATGTTTAATTTGAATAACATGTAATATTGTGTGTACATTTATTACAAACTCAGAGCGTAAACTATATGTTCATTTTCCCATCAGTTTTGAAAAAAAAAAAGATTAATTTCGAAAAACTTAGGTAAAAGCTTTATTCCCATTTTTCATTTTTTTTTTTTAATTATTTATTTACGTTATTTTTGAAACGTCAGCAGACTCGGAGCATGGAGAACACATTCAGCTTCACAGTTTGAAATAATTGTCCAAAACAAACGGCATTATATTCGGTCAGTCAAATTAAAATTTTAGAATGTAATAATTTTAACACTTAAAAAACAAACTTTTTAAGTAAGATGGTGATTGCTTTTTCTAATTAACTGTAAAGAAACATAAACGATACACAACTTTTACATCAGAAAAAATTTCATTTGTTTGGTTGCTGTCTCGTTGATGGTTAACCAACATCTCTTTTTATCACATGAAATAGTAGGAGTTCCATTTAGATATTGAGGTATTGACAAGTGTAAATGTTTTGCTGAGTTATATATTTCAGAACACGTTATAACAAATTCTTTATTCTAAAACATCTGCTAGAATCATTGACCAATATAGTTATCACTAAATCAAAATCATATCTTCACGAACCACATCAGAAGTTGTTTGAATTCTAAATACAATGTTCCCAGTTTCCTAAAGAATTTGCGGTGTGCAACTGCAATTATATATAATCATAACATTTCTGTATGGCACACCCTGTAATACTTTAAAAGTTAAATTAACAGATGACAAAGATATTTGTAATGTAAATACTAGGTATCTGTACCGATTGTAATCTTACTTGCAATCGGAAATACTAAATTGAAATGCATGTACTTGAAAGCCAAACAAACATAATCAAAGGACGTTTTATCTTACTAGTAAAAATAAATAAGAATATTTTGGAAGTCCTACAAACAGATAGCATAATTTGAATATTTTGTAATTATATGGGTTAGAACACAAGCACACAAACATTTAAACACGAAATATATTTTTACATCTTCTATTTTATTTATACTATTTTCTAATGGATATTATGTAATTAGATGGATTAGAACACAAGCACTAAAATATTTAAACAGGAAAATTTTAGGACATTTTCTAGTTTATCTTTGTTATCGAATAAATACTCTGATCTTCATTGTTTTCCTCTCTTTCTTGAAGAATAAATATGCTTTCAACGTAAAATAGTTGTAACTCCATTCCATTAACAATAGTTTGCTAACAAAATAGGATTTTAATGAAAATTTGACACTGGGTCGATTATTTGTTATTTGGAACTCTACTTCCTGTTTCAAAATCCCTTTACGGAAATGTCTGCGTCATTTCTTGTACCGCCTATTTGCTTTCGGATTATGTATTAATATCTTTTTTGTGCATGAACTTTATATATCCTTTAATCTGAACCTCAGCAGTGAAATATTGGCTTATAATTTGTTGACACATGTCGAAGTAAAATGGTGATGTGATATTTCTGTATTACATTGGTTTAATATACATATTTTGATGCGTATGATTCGGTTTCTTCAAGCATGAAAATGTCTGATTTTTGTAAGGCAAAATTCTCATAAATTAAATTCTGAGTCATACAAGATCAAACATGGTCAATATTGCATAACTTACCTTGTTTATGAATTTCTCTTATTATTTTTTTCAGCATTGGTAGTTAGATATTTAACAAGACGTTTTATCTGGGAATATGACCCAACATTAGGTACGTTGTATACTGCTGGACATAGTCTTTACTATAGATGGTATTAAAAAAAATGAAACTAACACTTTATATAAATTTGTTGCGTTTGAACCGCTTTTCTTAATTTACCTTCACCAAGAACGTTCATAGCAAAAAAAAATGAAAGCCAAGGATGTATAACTACCAACACTTAACGAACTATATGATATAAAAAAGGGCACCAAATTAACTTTCTTCTTTTAAAAGAAGTTTTGGATTTCAAAAACACCAGTTGATAAATATTTGCTATATTACTGAAAATACAGAGTAAACAAGGAGTTGTATAAAGTATTTACATGCAGCGTCCGCTTAGCTTAGGTTCAAATCCCTTTCAATTTAGGAATTGATTGTAATCTTTGTTATATACAGAACAATTTCTTTAAAATAATTATATCTTAGTACTTGTAATCTGAATTATATGTTTTTCACTCATAATAATTTATTTTATCTTGATAAAGCTTAATACTCAATGCATTAAAAGCATTGATGGCAAAGAAAACGTCTCAAATTTGAGATCTGCTACGTTGATGTATTTTCCTCAAATCTTTAACGACTTTTATAAATCAGTTCTCATGACTTTGAATTAGCTACATCATTTGCCTGTTGCTTTCATAGCAGCAAAGGTTTTAAAGGCTATTACCAAAGCACGTATTTAGTGCTACAGTCAGGCGGACAAAATATTATGTGGTAAAAAACATCAAATGCTAGAAAGTTTATTTACAAAATTGGAAATAGAAACAAGTCTACTGTTCTTTTCAGAATGTACATACAAACATCACAGTGTTGTAGATGACGAAAACGTTGTCATGGAAATTTTAGACACTGCTGGTCAAGTAAGTGAAATCTTCATTGCTTGCAAAATCTCATGATAAGTGAGAAAAATTATTCATTCCTCTGTATTTTCATCAACACAAAGTACTTTTCAAACATTATTGGACTCATATATAACCCAAAGGTCAATATAAATATCATCATGATTGATTGTAGATACCAAAGCAGAAGCAAATAGTTGATAAGAAAAGGGACAGTATCTTGTTCATTTAAAAAAGAAACATGTTAAATCCGCAAACATTACACAGAATGAAAAAAAAGGAGTAGCATGAATACTATTCACAATGGTTGTTGAAACTCAAGTGCTTCGTAACATTAAGCTGTTTTGGTACGGTATCATATGTAGCATTAGTTCGTTTTAACATGGAAACGAGGTAGTTCGACATCCAACGACGGACAGAACATGTCCAGGATCATCTGTAACAAAAATACAAAGTATATATATATATATATATATATAGAAGTCTATAAAAAGGACCAACCAGCAAATTTACTATGTACCGGATCGTCTAGAATAGACGATACAGTGCAGATAAGGAAAAGAATTATATAAGTCTAGAGATTTGCACAACGATACTAATATAAGATGGTATTATACGAAGATGTTGTTAATAAATCGTGTTGACAAATATTTCGGCTTAACAAATAGCCTTCTTCAGTGTCAATTATTTTAACAATACTGATTATATGTATAAATAGCTCAATAATACAGGTAAGTTTTGGTCTATTGATTTAATCCAAAATCCTGAACATCATAATATAAAACAAAACTCAATACTCAAATATACGTGACTGTGTACAAACACAGAACTATCCAAAAAGGCTTTCAGAAAGCGGAAACTATTCCAAGGAGTAAACTGTTAGAATACAAATATAAAATGAAAAATAAAAGGACTCCATGTGTTCTTACTTACCACCCATCTCTCAAAAACAGCTTCGGTGTCATTCGTGAGCATTGGAAAACAGTTGAAAAGAATTCCAAACTATCCAAGATTTTTCCCGAGCCTCCCATGATAGCTTTTAGGCAACCCAATAGTCTGCGTAACCTGCTGGTGCGGGCTGAAGTGTCTGATAATAGAAGTACTTCTGGAGAATGTCGTTCGTGTGATGAAAAACGCTGCAAATGCTGCCTACAGATGCATCACTCATCAACTTTTCACAGTAAGGCAACCGAAAATAACTATAAGATATTTTGCAATGTTAACTGCAAAAGTATGAATGTTATTTACATTCTAGAATGTTCGGTTTGTGGCCTCCAATATGTTGGTGAGTCAAAGCAGCCTTTCCACAAACGCCTCAATGGCCATAGGAGTGATATCTCTAAGAAGCCACTTCTCCCAGTTTCTCAGCATTTCAGACAGTCTGGTCACACACTTGATGACTTGAACCGCATGAAGATCCTAGTGATTGAACAGAACATTCACTGGAGTGATGCCCAGCGACAGGTTCGGGAAAGCTTTTGGATAAAGGAACTAAATGTACATCATCCAAACGGCATCAATAGAAAATACTAAGTTTTATTTTTCACTCATTTTGGGATGTAAATATACACAGTCACGTATATTTGAGTATTGAGTTTTGTTTTATATTATGATGTTCAGGATTTTGGATTAAATCAATAGACCAAAACTTACCTGTATTATTGATCTATTTTTATTTATACTGCACTCGTTCTATTTGAGCAGTCAAAATGCGTTGACCGTATATTTCTATGTCATATACAGTCACTGACCTGATATCACTTTTCCTCATGAATATTTAAATAGAAATTGCCGAAATTATAATTAATTATTCATACGACCTATTCAACCTGTTCTTGTTTCCAATGTATACGACTCAAACTTATTTCTTTTGCAATTTTTAGAAAAAAAACATTTCACTTGTTAATTTTTTTGGTTTGCAAACTATAAATCATTGTTTTATGCTTATTGTTGATATTTTAGTTCATTCTCAAACAAATTCGTTCACCGTCGATTGCGGGTTTTAACAGGTAATGTACATTTCATTGTGTTGTATATTTCTCCGACTGCATGATATGAGGCCTTTTTATAAAAGGGGAAGTTTCCAAATATTCAAATCAAATAATAACATTAACACATTAAACAAAAATTGAAAATGTTTTTTTTTTAGATTGCAGTATAAAGACAATAATAGTGCATTGACTTGACATATCAACGATATAAGGATTCGGCCCGAAACGGGGAAAAAGCTCGGCAGAGCCTCGCATTTCCCCGTTTCTAAGCCTCATCCTTATATCGTTAATATGTCAAGTCAATGCACTATTATTGTCTATACATATAATCAGTATTGTTAAAATAATTGACACTGAAGAAGGCTATTTGTCAAGCCGAAATATTTGTCAACACGATTTATTAACATTATCTTCGTATAATACCATCTTATATTAGTATCGTTGTGCAAATCTCCAGACTTATATATATATATATATACTCAGTATGACGATGACCGTAAAACTTTACACGTTCAATTTACCTTCGGAGGGTTTGTTTTGTTACTTCCATGTAGATGATGATGATGGATGGCTTCTTTACGTCCAGCGACACATTGATATGCATATTCAGGACGAGATCATGTTAATGTAATATGAATATTAACTCTGCTTTGTACTAGACCGACACGCTGAGCTGGATTTTTAACGTGCTAGTTCACAAGTTAACAGTCCACAGGAAGACATGTCACCTTACCCAGACACATCAAAGCAGCAAATAGCAATTTTAAAGTCTTTGGTTTGACCCGGTCGGGGTTCGAACCTACGACCTCCCGCACTCGAGACGAACACGCTACTACGAGACCACCGAGGCGGTTACTTCCATGTAGAAGTAACCTTCTGTTTAGGAAATTTTGATAGAAAACTAAACTCTTGTGTGTCATTTCAAATATATGCACTATAAATGTATTTGTTGCTGAAATATTAATGAACTTCAATTAAAAGGTTGTTTTGTCCTCGACATAGCTTTTGGTCTTTCATCTTCTTGCGAATTAGTTCTATTGCTTACTTTACAAACGCAAACAGATGATTTTAAGACGTGCACTAGGCAAATCTCAAATAATCAAGAAATAGTACAAAAACAACTACTCTTGTATTTTCCCTTTAATTGATAGTATAGCTACAAATAAAAAAATGTAATTATAAATACAAAGACAACCACTCTTGGATTTTCCCTTTAATTGATAGTATAGCTACAAATAAAAATGTAATTATAAATACAAAGACAACCACTCTTGGATTTTCCCTTTAATTGATAGTATAGCTACAAATAAAACAATGTAATTACTATAGTATATAACCGACGTTTTTTTGTTCTACTGTAGGATGAGACTATTCATCGTGAGGGTAGTGTTCGATGGGCAGATGGATTTGTTCTTGTCTATGCTATAAATGATCGTCAGAGTTTTGAGGATATAACAAGTATAAAACAATATATTGATGATACAAAAAAGACTAATGTACAATGTGTTTTAGTTGGCTCAAAATCTGATCTCCACCACGAAAGACTAATCAGTACAGCCGAAGGACAAAAGCTCGCGACTGATATGGCATGTGCGTTTTTCGAAACATCAGCAAGTGAAGCTGGTAGTGAAATTCCAGAACTATTCCAAGAACTTCATCGCGAAATAAAAAGACGAAAATTGGTTGAAAATAAACCAAGACGTCGGAGTTCTGCACAACAAGTAAAACAAGTTCTTACAAAAATGTTCAACAAACAGACAAGTAAAACCGGACCGACGTGAACAAGTACTTTACTTATGATCTAACAGTGACGAATTCAAATTGACGCTTTGTCTTTAATATCTTCTAAATGAAGAATTCCATGTGATGCAACTGTACATGGTATCTGTAGATACATTTTAGTATCTGTTTATTAGTATGGTCATTGCAATCGTTTGACTAAACAGTAACTAAACGTGTTGTTGCTTTACATACACTGTTATAATACCCGTTATAAATTCCGTTTCGACGTTATGGTATTCAGATATATACAGACTTACTTGAGAAATTCAACAATTCAAAGATATACATTTCGCTAGACATGGTCTTTATAGTAACGATGACGTATTCTTCTCTTCATTATAATGAAACTAGAAGAAGTGCGTGTAAATTTCACAAAATTATCCCCACCTCCACATAAAGCAATGGGAAAGTCCTTGTTTTGCTTAGGGAAACACCACAAATAAAGCATGTTATATGGTTAAGATTCTGAAAAGTTTTGATAAATTCTGATAAGGGGTTTAGGAGAAGTTGGTTTCCCCCAGATAAATTTACGAAAAAAGTCCATGATTTGCCTAGGAAACTCAAAATTGATTCGGATAAAAAAACAAAATAGCAATTGCACAAATATATGAAATGTTGAAGAGTCTGAGAAATTTTTATTAACTTCTGATTAAGGGTTTCTATGAGCAGAAGCAGAATACAAATGTGTACTGTAGTGTTCAGTTATGACAACTCCATGTCATCCATCAATAAAACCTAACCATCACTCGGATGAAGGAATGAAAGAAGAAGTGCAAAGTAAATCATGTGAGTAGATTCTGTGAAATTTTCACAAAAGTCTGTCCAGCGGTTCAAGAGCAGAAGCGGATACAAAAGTGTAACGAAAGGACGAACGGACGGACATAACCATAAATATATAAAACCGCCTGCTTCAACAATAGGGGAGTCTAATGATTGAATTCACAAATCATTGAATTCACAAATGCACATAATTAAAGAGTCCAACACTATCATCGAAAAGTTACTTATAATTGTTATAGATAGGTGATTGAGACATTATGCAAAAATTATTTCTTTTCCCTAATAGAATGACATACATTTATTTACTAAAAGTCAATCGTCATTCTAATATTATTAGACCGAAACTTAAGGAAATATCGATACTATGTAATATTGGTGGATAGTTGTCTCATTTACAATCATACCACACACTCCTATTTTTATAATGTATTTTATATATGTTTGTGTTTTATTGCATTTACCAACCTCTTCAAAAGCGCCATCTATATGTATCTTTGAAAATAACTATAAAGTTTAAAAAAAAGAACACGTCAATCATTGTGTGGAGCTTGAATTGTATTCATATAACATGTGTTACTTTTTGTTATGGATCAAGTAACAATCGTTTGTTGAAAACATTAAATTGAAATAAAAAAAGATATGTTGTTTCCCTTAATGGATGTTACCTTTGTCTTTAAAAAAAATAGTGGTTCTTTTCTAGATACACAGCTGCATCTTCAAAAATGTTAATAAATGGAACTTGTCCTAATGCAGTATGCAACGGCACATGGAAAATGGGAGATAACTGACCAAAGTTTTAAAATTCGATTATACTTGTCCAGATACAATATTTAGAACGATAGTTGGAAGCCAAATCAGCGCCTACACTAACCACATACTGAAAAAGAGAAAAAAAGATTTTCATATAACAGAAAATAAAATATATGAAAGCATGATATTCCAATATGAAATTCAAGAGCGTCGTTTTAATTGCCGATAATCAAGGTATTTAAATCGTGAAGAAGGTCATAGAAAAATACTTGTTTTAAGATTAGCTCTTACAGTTCTCTGTATTAAATGTTTGTTGCAAGCTTGGTAGAGTTTCTAAAAGTACTACACCCCTGCTTGTTTTGCTGTTGTCTCTTTGATATGCTATAGTCTTTTGTAACAATTTATTATTGATCTGATAGCCTCAAATTTAGTCAATAACTGCACACTGTTCAGCGACCTTACTCACTACAATCTCCATTTATATAGAAGAGTAAAAATAAACTTTTTAATCTGTTATTGTAAATGGTTCCTTTAAATATTGAAGTTGGTTAAGCTTTTTGTAAAAATATGATTGAAAATAAAGTTTTTCTTCTGTCATAATGGGGATCTATGAAAATCGTAATTTTATTTTTTTGTAACAATGAGGGTTCTGTGTAGCAACTATCAGAAAGGGGGTGTGTATGTCTAAATACCTTTGCTGTTTCATTAATGAGTTTTTTTGTAATTCAACTTGAGGATAAAACGTGGAGGGCAAGAGAATAAAAATAAATTTATATGCAATTATCTTCATTCAGAAACAACATTTCAAAAACATGAATAGATGTCATCTCATTTTATTTAATACTATCTTTACTTTAGGCGTGTGTCATGCTTACAGTTTCCCTGATGATAAAATCACATATGCGGTTAAACTTAGAATTTTAATCATTCTAAATGATAAAAAATTTCAATATGCAGTATAAAAACTTTTATTCTAAGATATAATTTATCAACCTTTTTTTAAAGCACACTCACAGGAAGCTGTGAAAAATCAAAATATACGAACAGTTACTAACAACATTTGACAAAGGGCTCACTTGAACCTATATCACTCAAATGATTCAGTCTAGGATATTTGTATTGCTGACAAAAAATGTTTATAAATGACGAATTTTTTTTTCGATTCATAGACATGAATTAAGGGAGATCTTTTTGTTAAGTCAATGACACAGCAACCAAACGAAACAAAAACCAGTCAACAAGAAACAGTTTTCTATAAAATGTTTCAAGCTCTTACTGGCCCCAAGTCCAGAATTTTGTGCATGACATTCACAGAGACAAACAAAGATATGCCATCAGCACACACATATATGCATTAGTCTATTGCACATGGATTTATGCCTGCCATTTCGAGCAACAAAATAAAGGGTCAGCTATTTATCACTACTATACTTGCTTCAAATATTTGGTTGTAGTTTGTAGGCAGGGGAAATGTTAGATCGGCCAATATAACTTCAGAACCGTTTCTAAGTTGTTTCGTTCTGCTGAAGTGTACTTAGCAAGGAATCTTGGTACACGTAATTGAATGTTATTTCATACGCTATGCCAGGAAGTGAAGGGTCGATTTCCCTATATCTATTTCAGGTTAAACAAAATACTTACGTATTGAAATCGCGTGACACAGCTGTTCTTGTGGTTACCAAATTATCAGTACTATAAACTGAGATAGTTTTTACAAAGTTGACGCTTTCTTTATTTGTAGTTTTTGTTAACAATTTCTCAAAGATTCAGTGAATCCGTTAGCCTTCAAAGCTGCTATGTTGACACATGAAAACTTGTTTATCAGATTTATTTAAGGCTAATTTATACTCAAGTTGAATAAGAAGTAAGAACTCTCATTTAAAAGAAAGTTCATATACTATTGAAGTCATATATATGTCTTTAATGGATACACGAACAGGCGTCAAAAGAAAAGCCATTTTACAACTGAAATGACTGTCTTTATTCAGGAGTTATCTGAAAAGAACAGGAAAAAACATGTTTTGTTGAGATTTCATTTCAGTGGCGACCATGAAGACACATCTTTTGCTAATATTGCTAAATAAACAGTCTGCTATTACTACATTGGGTCACCATAAAAAGTGACTAAACTGATAGAAATTGACTCCAAGCAAGGTTTAGAGACAATAGAGTTATTTCTCAAAATACAAATGTCAAAATATAAACTGTAAATTTCAATTGGATTCATACATTTCCGACCCTTCAGTTACAAATGAAAGTTTACAATATTCAATTCATTTACTAGGAAAACATTCCATTGCGTATTAGAACACTTTTCAAAACATAGTTTGACAGTTAGTGCTAAACTCGTTTTGTCCAATGACTGCACCTACTTGAAAAGATCAGTGATGCATTGTATACTTATCAGTGATGATGCTTCAAATTTTACGCACTTATCAAATAAAACTAATAAAACAAACGATCATATCTGAAACTTTGTTAAGAACATGCCATATCACCGTTATAACTCAAATAGAAGCATGCACCCTTATCTTTCTGTGCAATTTATAGAGGTTCGTCAGAATTGAGGTGGACTTTTATATTGCTCTTAATGCGAATCGTGACATGGTCAAATCTATTAACAAAAACTATATATGACTTATACTTGATAGTATAATTTGCTGAAACTAAGTTACAAATTAAAGTTGGCAGATAGAGGAGGAAATTACGTATATTGATGAGAGTGGGTCATACGTTTAAAAAAAGATTCACTGAACGGTTCGTTCAGTAAGAAATAAACATCTTTAAAATTGTAAATAGAAGAATTCATTCATAAAAAAGATTTTCAAATGTGGATTTTAAATACGAAAGCGAGAGAATAAAAATGAAAAGGTTTAAAATCGTATAATCTATTTCATTTTCATTCATTCAAAACTGCTTACCGTGTGAAACGATTTGATATTTTGAGAGAGTATAACCCAATTTTATTTAAGATTTGCATTTCATCAAACTGTTCAAGGTCACATAATAAAATTCTAATTTTCACACTGTGAACGTATATACGAAATAACATATCTTTTCACGAAAACAACTTCCAAATTTAGACCATAAATGACATAACCACATGTTATCTTCCTACTAATAATACCTTAATTCTATGTCTGCTTATACATTTTATTAAAAAAAGGTGGATATATTTTCAGCAGACAGTCGGCATCTCAATGGGTGCTACAAGGCTGTTCCCGTCTATTTTTGAAATAGAGTTTATCAATGACGTTAAAAGAAGAATCGTCTCAAGGTATATGTTTTAATTTCTCATTCAGATTAACTTCAATGAAATCCTACATTTATGCGAAGCACTTAATAAAGATATATCTTAGTGGTCTTAAAACTAAGAATGAACAAAAATAAGTTGTACATCCTACTTTTGTAGTTTTGTAAACACGATGTACTTTTAAACCTGGATTTTCTCGCATACTGATCACAATGTTGAACCATTTTGACAGACAGTTTTATTTTTGTTGTAAATTTGTCCGTGTAATTAATTAAATTAAATTAATAATCGACCTTGTATATGTTTCTCGATAAGATTGAATTCACGATCCTATATAAGAGCGTTCACGATCCAATCGCATTACTTGACCACCGTTAGGTATTCTTTCACGATCATTTCTCTCGATGAACCGAATGACACCTGTGTCCTTGGTTGCTCTTTATATTAACACCAACAACAATTAAGACTACATTTTTGTACTATAATCATAGATAAATGGTACAAGAGGACGTTTATTTTTTTCTTTATTGTATTTTCATTATTGGATAGATAAAATTTGTTTATTGATGTGTCAAATAACAATAGCTTTGGGTTTTTTTTATAAATAAGACCGTAGGCTAGAGTTATTATTTATAATATTATAATATTAGTTATTTTTCATGGATTAATTGATTGATTGGTGTTTAACACCGCTTTCAGCACTATTGCGCTATTTCGTTGCGGTCAGATTTTATTGGTAGAGGAAGACGGAGTGTCCGGGGAGAACCACCGACCTTCGGTAGGAAAACTGACAAACCTGGTCAATTAAGGTTGAAGTCGAAGGCACCTGCTACGTGCCGGATTCGAACTCACAACCTCGGTGTTGAAAGGCTAGTGATACAGTAGTTTGACTACTTAGATCACTCGGCCACCATCGAGGCCCCTATTTTTCATTGACGATCTGTATAAGAAAAGGTCTATTAGATGGAAATGTTTCAAAGAATTTTACTAATTCAATTAAAACAATATTTGACCGGACATTAAATTATATGACTTTTTCAACTAGCCTAGAAAACTTTTAAAGGTTTATCTTGTCTTGGACCTTTTCATGCCATTAACAAAAAATAGGTATACAGTAACTGCTAGTAGTCTGTTGTTATTTATGTATTATTGTCATTTTGTTTATTTTCCTTTGTTTCCTATTCTGACATCGGACTCGGACTTCTTTTAAACTGAGTTTTACTGTGCGTACTGTTGTGCGTTTGTTTTTTCTACATTGGCTAGAGGTATATTTATATATTCTTGTGTATAATTTGAAGTTTAGTATGACGTCCATTATCACTGAACTGGTATACATATTCGTTTAGGGGCCATGCAGCTGAAGGACGCCTACGGGTGCGGGAGGTGTCTGCTCATGGTCGGGTTGTTGTCTCTTTGACACATTCCCCATTTCCATTCTCAATTTTATTGTTATCAATATCTTTTACTGTCTATGAAACATCATTTGTTAAAAAACGTAAAGGACAAACGATGAAAAAGCTGCATATTTTCTAAGAAGTGAAGAATGGATAATGTACCTGGTTTAATTTGGACAAGATACAAAGTGTAATCATCTTAAGTAATTATTGTTTAAGTCTGGGGATAAAGGAAATAATAATTACAGAATCATGTAG